GAGGGGGGGGGGGGGGGGGGGGGAAGGGAAAGCTGGGGCTGCCTACTCCCCAGAGAGGGGGCACCGCCCTCTAGTACTTAATAAAAATACTTTTGTTTATTATCAATCCCAGTGTAAACAATTATCAATGAAGGAGAGAGATAACAAAAAGGGCAAACTTATTTCTATATAAAACCCTTTTACAGAGCAAGACAGATTTATTTGGGGGTTTGGTCCTATTTGGGGCTGTGTAGCATGTAACCATAATAGAAGCTGATGCTTATCGGTTAACCGTTTGAACAGTTACACTTCTGCATCTCTAGAAGAAAGTGTAAAGGTATGTTTGAAGCTGACAGTAATAATAGTGTTTTGTGTGCCATGGGAACACTGGGAACCACTGAATTTTTGCACCCAGGTACTGTATGTTCAATGAAGTGGTGTGGGCTTTTCACTTCACTTGTGTGCCTCATTTCACTTTATCTAACCTTTGCACATTACATCTTGGTGGCAACATGTATACCTTGATAGAGTCATGACTGGTTCTAAGAACAGCAGGACAGAAATTCATAAGTTCTGTCTCCTATAGATCTCAGAGGTAGAACCTTATTCCTATGCACCTAAGTACATGCATCAATCTTTTGGTCAAATGTATTACATTTGTCAGAACCTACTCCAATTTCAACATGCTTTATGATCAAATTATACAGATTTAATATTATATTTTAGTCTTAATTAAATTTTAAAAGGTGCAGTTATGCTTGTATCTTAATTTAGCTTTAGAATATGAATATATGTGTGAAGTCACTGCAATACTGAAAATGAGCTTATTTCCACCAGAACCAAGTAAAAAAAAGTTGCTTTTTTTAAACTGGTACGAGGTATGGGGGATCAGTGCTCTAAAATGTGCATGCAAGTAAGTAAAATGCTGCTGTATCATATAAATAAATTTAAAACTTACTAGATCGTGTGGATAAAATCGAACTGAGGTAGAACTTGATACATGAGAGTCCGTGTCACTATAGGAACAGAGAAAATACTTTAGATTTAATATTACATTTGATTTCAACAAGAAACTCCAGTGTATTAAAATGCCTGAAGTTTTATTTTTCTGCTAACACAACACCAAATTTTTAGTTTAAGGCTCTTCATTCATTTTTGTAATTTCTTAGGGAATGTCTACACTTGCACCCTCGTTCGAACTAGGGATGCAAATGTAGGCATTCAAAATAGTCAACGAAGCGGGGATATAAATATCCCACGCTTCATTAGCATAATCTCGCCGGTGTGTTACTCCGATCAACAGCTGTTTCAAAAGTGAAAGGACGCGCCGGGATGCATTAGTTCGATCCAACGTTACTCCTCATTTCATACCCTTAGACTTCATGCTTTAGCACATTTAAACAAATAAGTATTTGGTTTTTAAGATATCACTTCCCATGTATAACAAGGACAGTGACAACAAATCTTACCCATATATTGAATGAAAAAGTGCTCATATGGTACAAAAACAATAATGAAGATGCTCTATTCTTCCTCGCCTCTACCATCTTGTCACGGATTCATGGATTGGCTAGCAGTTGTCTCAGAAGAAACCCCATTTCCTATTGCCTAAGTGTATGCTTTTTTTAAAAAGCTTGCTAGCCCTCAGAAGATATGTGCCAGACATTCCTTAATGAAAGTCTGAGTGTCTCCCCTTTGGGCTCACAAGGTAGAAGAATCTAGTAGACTTATGTTCTATCTCCAGCTCTTTCTCCCATTTATCTTACACCCCCACATTGCTGCTGATCATTTTAAGGTCAGGGTAAAGGTAACCATCTTCGGAGTCTAGCCTTCATCAAAAATCACTTCTAAAACACTTCTGAAAATGTAACAAGCATTTTAAAAAAATATTACCTTCTATCTCGAGGCAAAAGTTCAAACAAAGTTCTCACCATTTTATCATTAGGGCCAAGGCCAAATTGCTTCTAATCAAACCCTTGGGCTTTTCCCAACAATGTTAAATATATAGCAATATACACACAAACAATTGAGTGTAAATATAGTCTGCAGTGACATGTCAGAATCACACGAAGTTTAAACACATTTTCTTTATTCCCTGTCCCTGAGATGCAATTAATTTTGATAAAATGCAAAATAAAAATACTGAGGTGTTTTACAAAGTAAGCAGAAGCGTGACTATCTAGATTTTTTTTCTAGTTTGTGCCAGCCCTTATATTTAGTTTGACATTCAGACTTTGCTCCTCATTGTAAGAATAAACTATGTGAAATAAGCAGTACTCTTCAGTTTAAAATGAAGAGTAAGTCATTCTGCAGGACTTTTCCAATTAATTGCTTCAGTTCCATCTTTTGCCCCTCAGAAGGCACTATGGAGCTAGTCTAGAGCAGCCAATTCCAACCGACTAGGGAAAAGAAAGAATATGCAGTGTCTGCTGCACAGCAAATGTTGGGCCAGGTCAGGAGATAAGAGAGAGAGATACTGGGTAGGGAGGTAGGGGGTAGGATGGAAATCAGACAAGGATTCATAGGGACTAGTGGGGTAGAACAGACTGGAGCAGGGGCTGAATGGGAATGGAGGTGTAGGGGAGGAGGGAGGGACCATATAGGGAGAGGGAGGTACTTGAGTCACAGCACAAACACATGGGGACAGGGTAGATGTGCCAAACTGAACAGGAGAGGCAAAGAGTTAGCCATGGCCCACATGGGGGAGCTCCATAACAATCCCTTCCTTACCTTCCCATAAATAAGTGACTCCATTCTTTTCCCACCCATATTCAACAATCATTCAAGTTCACACCCAAGCTCCTTCCCAGCAATTACTTCCCTCTCCCGCAGGTCCTCTATTACCACTGACTCTACCCAAGCGTTTGCACTGCTTCTTAAGGATGAGGGAAATATGGTTCTGTATTGTAATGTAAAAGAATTTATTACTCAGAGTTCTGTATTAATATGCCTAGTGATGAATCTATTTATCAAAAAACATTTCCTGAATCTATTTTGTCAACTGTATTGTTACATATTTACTGAAAGATATTTAAAAATAAATTATCCAAATAATAAAAACTCAAACAAAATATGCACAGTTTTTACAGAATATTAAAATACTATATGCATATATTTTGGGAGACATAGAATTCCCAGAGTATCTATTGCTCTGGCAAGCAATGACCAAGATAGCTAGTTGCATACACCCTGCAGATGAAAGGTAGGAAGGAAAAACAAGACCTCCTTTGGATGTAATAATATCCTGAACAAGACAGGTCATTTATAATTGGGTCATAGTGTTGTTATTCCTTCAAGTGCCCAACTACTCGCTAGTCAACGAGCCTCACCTATCTGCCCTTGTTCTCCTACCTCTGTAACGTCTGCTCATGGAGGAGAGTGTCCTACATTTGTAAGATACAGAATCAATTTTTATTTTGCTTTTTGTAAACTGCAAAATTCAGTAATTAGTAATAAATTCAGAATAAAACTTCTAGTGTGTGTGTTCCTGCAAAGAGCATCTGGCCAAAAAAACCCCACCGAACCCCTCCCCCCAAAAAATGAAAGCAATAATTTAATGTCACCCCATTCAGAGATTTATTCTATACATGCCGATACATTCAGTATATGAACAGTCTGATGCAGATTAGGTGTGTGAAAGTGTACATGGCAATAATTTTCCATGGTATTGTCACCTTGATGCTGTTTTCTGCTAAACTTGTAAAATCTGAATAACAGTAAAGAAACACACAGGCTTGCATTTTTTATACTTTGTCTTCTATAACTGAAATTAAATACCATCTTTTCCATTAAATTCTTGCAATTATCCTGCAGATAACATAAGAAGCCTTTTGACTGGTCTTCACACCCACCAGATGTTGGATGATCTTCTTGCAGCAGGCTCAAAGTTCACAAGTGACATGTCACAGCCTCCCGTCTCGTAGAGCGTAGAGCTAAACTTACCTATTAAAGAAAAGGTCAAAACGATCAAATACTCAATATTGCTTCATCCCAGCAACACTAATTTCTAAAGCGTAACATTTTAGTGGTTTGCTATAAATGTAGATTTCAAAACAAATAAGTCAACACATAACATATGACTAGCATAATGGATTAAGAAAATATTAGCAAGAGGAAGCAAAAAATTACAGGAGGCCCCCGACTTGCAACACAGCTGGTTCCAGGGGAACCATCATTTACGATAGCTGCTGTGAGCCATCGTAAATGCAGGCTGAGGGCGTAAGTCGGGGGTTTTGGCCCCTTCCTCACTTACAAAAATGGTTTTAAGTGCGGGGGGGATCAGAACTCAGGTGGTCGCAAGCTGGGGGCCTCCTGGAGATTGCTGAGCATTCTCCTCTAAAACAAAAGTCATGTCACTCATGTCAAATTACAGGATATACATTTTAGACAATTGAAATTAATGTATCTGTTACACTTTCAGGATAATAAACAATATTAAGATACAGAGAAACAACAGTGAATTAACCCAACAAAAATACAATGGTATCCTTCCAGTGGACAAGCTACTTGAAATGGCAAATTGCACTGGTGGGATTTCACAAAATATACACTAGACTTTGACCCAGGTAGCTGTTACAACAGACTACTGAATCATGAATCATTATCAGATGGCAACCATGGCACTTAACTGAGGGAGAAATGCCACAGGTGGCAAAATTGTGAGGCTTTTAAAGCCAGGTTTCTGCTTGGAAAAAAAATTCTACAGAGAGCGTAAGTGTTTTTCAGATATATTTGTGTCTGTGCTTGTCTTTGGAGAGCAGAAAAGAACTGCATTTGGACAATTAAGCCATTGTTGACAGCTAAAGGGACACCATTAATTTGATGTTTTATGTTAGCTAAAACAGCTTCTATTTTAACAATAGTAGAGAGCCAGCCTGTTCCTAAACTAAAAGTTACATTAGAAAACAAAGGAAAACAAGCCCAGACAGTAAACTGCTTGACCACAAGATACTTATCCTTACTGTGCCCTTCTCTCCCCAAAAGCCAGGAAACTTGCCTTGAAGTCCAGATTCAGGATATTTCAGCCCAAATATTTAAAAATTAATTCTCAACATTATTTTAATGGGAATGTCTTATTTCCCTCTTGTCTAGAATAAATATGTCTCCACATGTACACCCACATGTACATACTATAAGTTATTTAGATCTTTTAAATCAAAATCAACACAACTTTTAGCTTTTATTTCTTCTCTCTTTTAATTTTATAAGAAAACTTTTTCTGCTTCCTGATATTAAAAACTGTAGTGCACCATCCAAGAGCAACATCTAACATGATCAAGCCCTCTCTTTCTTCCACTCTATACATACACCTGACTGCTCAAACTTCTGTACCTTAAATTGTTGTAAAGTCTTGGAAGGAGGTACATCAGATTACCCCTAGAGAAGTGCATGAAGGTGAAGAGATAGGAAAGGCAACAGCCAACAAAGAGTAATAGAAGCAAAGTGCCTTTAAAAGCACAAAATGAGAAGAGAATATCTGCATAAAATTTAAAAAAAAATCTCTTTGAGTTAGAGACTTTAAGTGCCACTTTTAACAGCAGTAGTTATAAAAGTAAGGGAAAAGGAAACTTGGAGTTAATAGGCCACTTGTAAATTAGACCAAAAGGGAAAAGGCTGCTTTGGCCCAACATTTATACATTTTAGAAGTTATATACAATGTGCACTAAAGGAAAGTTTCTCCACTATAATTATATCTTATATTGATTATAGAAGTTACTGGACACTGTAGATATTTGAAGACTTACCTGTCCCACAGCTGGCTTTCTTTGAGGTGTTTTGCTTATGCCCATTCTACATTAGGTGTATGTACTTGCCACGTGCACCAGTGCCGGAAGATTTTCCCTCAGCAGTATCTATAGGGGAGCAGCTGTGGTATCCTCTATAGTGCATCTGTGTGGTGCACTCTGAGGGACACCACTGACTCTCCCTACCCTCAGTACCCTCTAGCCAGAAGCTCTGATAGTGGGGAAAAGAGGGCAGGTCATGGAATGGCTATCAGCAATACACCTCAAAGAATATCAGTTAAGCAACAGGTCTTTTCTTCAAGTGCTTGATCACATCCATTTCACATTACATGACTCCAAAAGAATACCCGTGGAGGTGGGTAGGAGTACACAGCCACACAGACTGCAACACACGTCTGCCAACCTAGCATCATCTCTGACCTGCTGGCATAATGATATCTGGACAGAGGACCACATCACAGCTGCTCTACAAATGTCCTGGATCGGGATATGCACAAGGAAAGTCTCTGCAGATGCCTGTACTCTAGTCGAATGAGCTCTGATGAAGGGGGCTGGCAGGACCTTTGCCTGCTCATAACAGATCCTTGTAACAGATCCATATGAAAGAGGTGATCCAAATGCAAGTTCTCTCTGACCTTGGATTGGCTGCTGTAACATAGAAATGGCCACACGGTGAATTTTCATGGAAGAATTCGCTAAAGCCTGGTTCCTGAGCTACAGTCAGTCTAAAATGGACTGCATCAAAGAACACGAGGGCAAGATACCATGCTTCAATGCCCTCCATGAAAAACTCTTACATTTGGCTGGGTGAAGGAGAAGGGCCACTCTAGCTGTAGCTGTGGAGGAAAGGTCATCAAACAGGGAATCCACCTGCTCCTCCAATTCCTCTGCATGCAGGGTAAGGTTGGACACAACCTGTTTAGTAGTTCCTGGTGCACTTTGCCATCAACCCAAGGGACAGAGTGTGGGATCCCAGTGATAGCCTTGTCCAGTGACAAGGAGGCGGCATCTGGTACTGTGACTTCCACTGTATCCACTAATGGTCCACTAGGTTGATCCCTTTCACTCACTCACATGTACTTGAGGGTCTTTTCTTCTGAAGACTAAAGCACTGGAGGGGGCTGCGATCAGCCTGTCTAAAACTCCTGACACCAAGCAGGCCAGTTGGGATGGCCAAGTGAAACACTATGGGGATAGAAGAGTACCACAGAGCAGGTTTTGGTGAGTGTGATGTAGATGGCACTGGGGGTCTAGGACAGGGGTCTCCAGCCTTTTTAAGCATGAGATCACTTTTTCAATTTAAGGGCAATCCAGGATCTACCTCAAACCCAAACATCTTTTCCCCGCCTCCTTCCCTACCCTTCTCCGAGGCCCCGCCTCTGCTCACTCCATCCTCCCTTCCTCCCCCAGCCTCACTCATGTTTACCAGGAGGTGGGCAGAGGACGGGCGTGTGGGGGAGGGGGATGCAGACTCTGATCTTGGGCTAAGGGATTTGGAGTGTGGGAGGGGCTCTGAACTGAGCCTGGGGAAGGGAGTTGAGGTGCAGGATGGGTGTAGGGTGCAGGCTCCAGGAGGGAGTTTGGGTGCAGGGCAACTCAGGGCTAGGGCCAGGGTTTGGAGTGAAGGAGGGGTTTAGGACTAGGGCTGGGGTTTGGAATGCGGGCTCCAGCTGGGCACAGGTGACTTCTTGATGGTGGTGGTGGGAAAAGTCAGGCTTACCCCTACTCTGGCCATGCACCACTCCCAAAAGCTGCCAGCAATCTCTCTCCATCCTTGCCCTTCCCCTCAGTGGAGATGGGGTACAGGGTGGGGAAAGAGCACCTTGACATCAGCACTCCCTCCTCTTTTTCCTGTGCTCTGCACAGCAAGCAACAAGCTCCAGGTTTGGGGCAGTTCCAAGGCAGAGGACAGAAGCAGCATAGCAGTGCTGAGATGGGCAGATAAAGTGCCAGCACTTGACAGCCTCCTAGGCAAACCAGTCAGGATCATCTGTCAAAGGCTCCAAGATCTACCAGTAGAGCACGATCTATGGGTTGGTGACCACTGGTCTAGGAGGTTGCCCTGCCAATATCAAGCTTTGCTCCCTACCAGAGAGATATCTGGAGAAATCTGTACACAGCAACCAGAATCTACTGGAGCAAGTGTGTCCATGGTCACATTTGAAGGAGAATCATTCCAACCGTGATGCGCACCTCCAGAGGGCATTGCTGACTGCTGGCGCCCAATGGATCCGTGACAAAAGACCAGCCATCCATGCCTCATGCATTGAAACTGGTACCAGGATAAAGAGTGAGACCTAGATGTATCACAGGTGGGATGCTAGGGGAGGATCTTTGATGAAGATGGATGAAAGGGCCCCAAGGTGGTTATACCCTACAGTCTGCGTACCACGAGGCCTGGTACAAGTGGCACCTGGAGAGCTTCGGGCGTCAACAACACATGAAGCTGACTGAGGCCTTTTTCTGTGTCCAGGCTTCTAGCCCTGGAACAGGATAAGCTGCACTGCTTCATGAGCTGAGGCCTGACTTCCTGAATGGGGAGAAGAGCTGCCCAAGATGGGTCTTTAGCTCACTCTCAGCCCTGATTTTCTCCTTGTACGGAGTAGGAGATCAACCCCTACCAGCCTTCTTTGGCTTCTTCAATGGGCCTGCAAAGGGGAATCGGTGCTTGCTTGTCTACGGCGCCAGTGGGCATTACACACAGACACTGATGTGCTGGATGCTGATTTGGACCTTTACTTTGAGGCTAGATTGAGTGCCAACTCCATCAGGAGAACTTTGAGCCTGATCTCACACTCCTCCTTAGTCCTAGCGTTAAAAGACTTACAGATGTGACACTTGTCACCTATGTGCCCTCCACCAAAGCACCCGAGACAACTGCTATATGGATTGCTGATGGGCACAGAACATTTACAATGACCACATGGCTTAAAGGCTGGGGAAGAGGACATGCCCCATCTCCTGTCTGAGTCCCAGATGGGACTAACAAAACTAACTACTGCTGCAGGTTCACTCTATTACTATTTACATTAAATGTACAAGTTTCTACATAGCCTAAGCAATGCTAGTAGAGAGGTCAATGTTCCATGCACTCTCACTACCTGCAAGAAGGAACTGAGGGTGAGGGGAGCTGGCAGCATCCCTTATATCACTCCATGCAAGTTGAGAGGGTTCTAGAGCTGCTCCCCTATGGATACT